GGACAGAAACCAGGACCTGGATCATCAACAGATAATTCCCTCTGAAAAGGGGAACCTTGACTGTCCGCAGCTCTCCTGACAGGACTTTCCCTCCACACAGAAACCCAGCCCCCAGAGCCATGCTTCTGCTTGGCACCTGCCATCACAAATTTCACAGGCCTCTTCTACTTTATCAGAATTCTCCATCATGGCACCCAGGAGGTGCTGCAACCTGTGGCACAGCTTTTAGCAACAGACAGCTTCACAGGCAGTGCATTGGTGGAAACACCCAAGCACTGGTGTAGGTAGCCTCAAGTAAACATAGCCTCAAGGAGAGAAGGCCAGCAGAGAAGCTGGAAAGCAGCCTGTAAACAGCCTGCACACATGGAGACATTGGGCAGCTTTAGGGGCTGCATGAGAAGTGCTACAGGGATGCCCTTGCCTCCCACACACTCCCTGACAAATAACCATTGCAAAAGCATGCTTGCCAAACCCTTCAAGTCCTGCACTAAGCCACACTTCAGAGGCAATGCAATTTTTGACTGTTTATCCTTTCACTGTTTGACCTCCTTTCAGTAAGTCTTCATGTCAGCATCTTCTTTTTATTTAATTTTTATTTTATTTATTATTAACCACAAACTCTTCTTAACCCTTTGCCTCTCTTCTCTGGGAACCTGAGGAGAGTTCTCACAGTGCCCTGCATGTGCCATCTTCATCAAGGAGACATTTCAGCTCTCCACACCCAGCACTCAAAACTAATGTCAACTGGCTACATAACCACACAAAGCTGCTGGACTTCCTACAATTAAGCTGTGAGGCCTTCCCCCTGGTGACCAGAGACACAGACCATCCTCAGGCTGTGCATCCTGAAGCAATCCTTAAGCTTCATTAATGGCTATGAAGGTTCACCTGGTGCCACTGAGATATGCAAGTCCTTCACAGAGCTGAGAAGGACAGGTTCAGTCCTCCAGCATAATGAACCATCCTTGCCACTTACATGATGTCAGGGACAAAAATATTTGCTCTCAGCCCCCCAAACCACTGAGGGCTCTTAATATATGAACACTCTGCAGGTTTTGTAGTCTAAATGTTCACCATTACCAGAGCCAGCCTTGCTTTTAACCATCAGCACTTAGTTCAGCTGATCAAGTCCCAGTTTGTGGAGAGACCAGAATTCAGCTCAGCTCTACCACTTAATACCCCTGCCTCCCAGACCATTAGGGAGAGCACCCTTTAAAAGCTTTTAGTCACTTTATCCAGAAATCACATCCTTTTTACAGAAGGGGGCTTGTATCTTTCTCCAAGGGACTGTGATGAAACTAAATGCAGTTATGACCTTCCAGAGTGCTGCCAGCCTCCAGAGGGCTATGGGAGCTGGTCCCATAGAGCCCATCACTGCTAAAGTCATACTCCTCTGCTGCAGCTTGGCATCGACATCCCAGAACTTGAGCTGCAAAGCTGCTTTCTCCTCTAGGCAGCTACAGAAATTCCAGGCTTGCTAAATAGCGAGATTTTAACCACGTGGGCTTGTTTCATGTTTAAGATAAATTAAATCCCAGTAACTACGGTCTAAACCTCTAGTCCAAACTTCAAGTTCTGCAAGTAAGTGAATGGTTGCTGGTTCTATATCCTGCTTTGCCTGAAAGGCAATGCCTCCCACCTCCTAAGTAATAACCCTCTTCAACTCCCAGTAGCATTCATGTTAACATCCAGTAAGTTTATCTCAACTGTTATCAACTTTGAAATTGAATTAGTACCACAAACCCATTAGGTTTTTAAGGAAACCAAGTAACACGCCTGTCTGGACAAAAATTGTATTTGTAACCCAAGCAAGTAACACTAACAAGTTGTGAGTTACTTTCAGTAAGTAAATTAATTTGTTATTTATACTATGTCCAAGTACTTCCTCCAAGCACATATTTTGCAGATTTCCATTTCCAAAACAGTATTTCATATTTATTGTTACTTCTAGTGCAAAAGTTTGAGCTGGTACATTTTACACGAGAGAGGGCATTATCCTTTGAAGATCGAGAGGGATTGTGAAGTAAAAGGTACCAACCAAAAAAAAAAACCTGTGCAGCTGCTGCTGTCAAGTTTGAAGGATTATTTTTAACTTAGACAGCTTGACAGTAACACACTCTGTCATAATTTAAAAGAATTCATCGTGCCCCTATCTAAAGTTATGCTAGTATGGGAGATGTTCAGTAAGCTCATACTGTTTTGTACCTTCTGCAATATGTAGCCTTTAGTGCAGAGCTATCCTCATTCATTTAATTCACAAGTGAATTAAAAGGAAAACACAGAAGTTAAAAAACAAATATCAACAAAAAAAATAGTGAGTGAACAGAACAAACTTAATTTAGTTAACCCCTAGAGAAATTTTAGCTTATTGAATTCTGGTCACTGAACGTTGATTCACCAAGAGAATGAAAAACCTGAGTGGGCTTTATCCTTTGTTGTGTAAACATTCCTGAATGCAATAAGTATTTAGGAGCTCCCAAAAGAGAAACATATGATGTCTATAGTAAAAAAAAGATAAAAAAGGAAAAGAAAAAAAGGTTTCCATTCTGTGAGTCACTTAATTTGGAAGATTATGGAAATTTTCAAATCCAAAAGAACAACCCACAACATAAAAGTAAACGGCTTGCAAGTATAATTAGCGTAAGTTTTGTTTCTAATGGGCAACGTTAACTGCAGAGAAAAAAAAAAAAAAAAATCCAGGCTTTTGACAAAGTCCTTAAAGTAAGTTTGCCTTCCCTTTATTTCCATCAGATGTGAAAAACCACACAACATCTTAATGATTAATGGTACTGTTGTAATAGACAAAAAAATGTTAACTCTGGTCTATAAAGTAGCACACTAAAGTCCTAAAGCTTCTCCTCCAGCTCCAACCCTGATACAATTCATGCACACAGAAGATTGAGGCTATGAACCCTTGGCACATTTCTTCATGGAGTACACAGCAATCTACACCCCTCAAATCTTGCATGAAGTAGTCAAGACAAATAGCTATTCAGTCCTACAATAAAAAAAAACAACACTTAAGACCAACCAAAGAAGAAATAAAAAGTTCTATGTGCCAAAATTCAGCTGAACTCCTTGCCTTCCTTTCTGCTTATTTCAGAAAAATTGTATGGTCTCCATTAGAAGGGATATGTTCCTATAGGCTTTTGTGGTAGAGGCAGGAACAGTCTGTGAGTTGATCTGATCCAGCCCAGAACTTAGAGTTCTGGCAGGGCTTTAGCCTGGTTGTGTGAAAGGCTGACAGCATTCACAGCTAACACCTATTGACAGAGCAACAGAATAATTAGCCTGGCATGGATGCCCCTGCTTTTATTTCCCCAGACCTTGATGATAGGGGTCAAGGGGAAAAGCAAGAGAGGATCAGCCCAACACAAAGCCAGACCAATGGGCTCATTCTTCAGAATAAGCCTGGAGCAATGCATATTCCAAACAGCAAAACTAAATTCATCTTCACAAGGCCCATTTCTGCTATCAAAAATCAGTGTATGTTTTCAGCTTTTTCTCCTCCTTTCTGAAAACCCATTTTCAGGTATTACCCACTAACATCCTGCGTCCCAGTTTCATTCACTATAATTGTGATCTATGTTGTCAAGGTTTCCTTAAGGAGGTGTTGTGAAGATTACAGTCACAAGACAGCCTGCTACTTCAGCACAGAGAAGCAAGGGATGTGTTGCAAAAAACCCAAGAAAGCCCTCTTCAGGGCATGACTTGGAAAGAGATCATCATATAGGAAATATGAGGAAGCCACATGTGGAGCACAAGGCTTAAGTTCAACATAGATAGTTGCTTCATTCACTATTACTATCCCTGCTGCTCAGTGACTTAGAGGTCATGTCCCCTTCATGTAAAGAACAGTAACTTTCCTAATGTACATGTATAACTCTACACTAAACATATATTATGGTAGTTTATTTCATGATAAGAAAATGGTGCAATAGTGTTCTTTGACAAGTATAAAGCTGTTACTGGCATTTAGCTAAAGAATTCTGTGGAAAAAACCCTCTTTTTAAGGATTTTCTCCTGTATTTCAAACACCTAAAAGTTGCATAAAGTAACAGAAATTTTTGCACATGCAAAACCTGTGAGCTTTGCCCTTGGAGAAATGGTCTAAAAATAAGAAAAATAAAATTTTAAAAGAGTGCAAAGTATCTTGCTCAAAAAAACACACAATTTTATCTTGATGAAAATGGAGGTGAGCTGCAAATGGTTATAATTTTCTCTCTTTGGTCAACACAGCAAAGATAAAACATTAGAAAAACTTCCAATTCCTAAGGCAAGCTCCTTCTACATCTGCTTTAGGCTATTTTGGCTGTAGCATTTAAATACCCTAATTATTTTGTGCATTAAACACCATAAATATCCCTGTTGATTTGTGGTCTATTTGTGGGTTCCAACATACAGCTGTATTTCATTTGGTTGAGAGGACATTCTGCAAGTAGGACTTGTACACCAATGCATTTCATGGGCAATAATTTTTATGCATGGGTGTTAGCAGTGAAGCTAACAGCTTTTCTCTATGCCATAGTTCAATGTCTATCTACACCTAAGTGTAACATTGCAGGAGAGAGGAAGAACATTTATGTATGATCCACTTGAAAAGCAGTTAATAACACTTCAGCTTCATGTGGAAGGAGCCATGCAGTCCCTTTACAACACGAAGTACCTTTGCAAGCAAAAGAAACCTAGCAATTTCTTCAGAGACAACAGATTTTCCTTAAGGATAATACACAAGATTAATAAAAATATTCCCTCTCAGCTTATTCATAGGCCTCCGGCCCAAATTAGCTTAACCAATATAAGCAGAATATTAAGTATCTCTCCATTTTGTGCATGCCTGTGGGGTTCTACTGATAGGGCTGCCATCTGCACAAGGTATTTTGTTTGTCTGGCATGCACATAGTACATTTTTGCTTGGTACATTAGAAAGAGAAGAAGAATTAGTACTGAAGAGTAAGGCATATCATAAAAAGACAATCATGCAAGTTACACCCACTTACCTGTACTAGTGCGATATGTGCCTGTGTGTGCTGGTTGCAGAGGGTCCCCCTGACTCTGGCTGAGACTCCTCATAGGGGGCTTCTGATAAACTCTGTCTTCGTAAATTGGATCTATATGATGTTCCGGAGACTGCAGTGCCCTTAATTCGGAGCCAAGGTGGCTGTGCTGGCTGCTGTAAGATGCCCGAGACCCAGCTGCAAAGAGATTTATAAGAGACAGTTGAGAAACACAGTTACAAATACAGGATCTACTTTACAAAAAGTTTACTTGAAAGCAGTACTTCCAACTAAAAAAAACCAAACCCAAACAAAACCCAAAGAAATCAATGTTTTCAACATGCAAGTAAAACCAGTATACAAGGACAGCAAGAGCTCCACTTAGTCATTTTAACTGCATCATCCACCTGCCTTCATCTACTCCAAAACTCCATTTCTTCCAAGGAAAATAAGTATTTTGGAGAGATAGATACTTCTTCTTATACAGACCAAAAAAGGGGGAAAAAAATTTAAAAAAGGAAAAAAAAAAATCAAGCTATGAGATCCAGGAATGC